TAACGCCAAGAAGGTTGGGGAATACAGGCGCTTAAATAGGCAGAGCTGTGGCTGTTGAGTGAAGTCAGAGCCGCGGTGACCTAGGCAATTAACTACGGGGATGGAGTGACGCTGCAGAGTCGAAGGTCTAAAGTAAGCGAGTGAAGCAGCTTTATTGAATATGCTGCTATCCACCATCTAGCGCGCAGGAGGTTGTTAACTAATTGAAGTCGAGGGAGATAGATCCCTGTCAATTTCTACATATCAATTCTAAAGTACTCGTCTATTGAACCAGAAGATTGAAAGGGAGATTTGAAAGACTGTATCGGGTTATTATTGTGCTGAACAGGAAGATTGCTGTCATGCACATAGCTTCAACTTGCTGACCACTGGTGTGGGCGCACTCTATCACTTTGGTAATAGCTCACAATTTACAATTCTCCTGGAAGTTAAGTTTAAATAGGAACCTATAGTTATTCATAACTGGGCTATATCGGTCAGTTCAAATAAAAATGACAAAAGAACATCCCAAAATACGCTTCAATGCCACAAGAAGAAGATACAGAAAATGTCATGTAGTACGTAGATGAATCTCCAGAGCCGATCCACAAGCCAGCGTACGGGGAATCTGGAAGGCGAGATACACTCAGGCAGATAGAGATACCAGTCGTCTTCATCGATTACACTTAAACATTGAGACAGAGCAGTGCATTCATAATGCTCAGGGTAAACGCCCCCATCTTCCCAGTCTATGATCCCGCTGACTATCTAGCGGCCATTATCACCTGGCTCCCGTTTCACCAGGATATTGTCAGTTCACGGGTAAACACGGACCCGTACAGAGATGAGTTGTCATGACGTAGGAGTGAGCGAAGAAACTTGATGTATGAATTGCTGCCATGATGACGGGGGGAAAACTGCAAGTCGGAATGCAGCTGCTGGGGTGATATCTTTGAACGTGGAGCACTCATCAACCCGCTTGTCCTTTGCCCCTTCTCCACTGATTCCACCAAGGGGATGGCCATCATCTTGTCAAATTGTCCTTAGTCGATGGAATATGTCGTCTAGCTGGCGTTGTATGAACAGCTTGTCTTCGTGTGCAAGGCTGGGCCAGGCCTTGGTCGGAGTCATGCCTGGAATGTATGACATGGAAACAACACAGAATGGAGCAAAGGCAATTAGACCGTGTGGTCTGGGAACTGGGATATTAGGCATCTATCGCTCGAGATGCTGCAGTATGGTGTACCTAGTGTACTCCTTATTGCCCATGATGACTTTTGCCACAATGCCCTCACTGCACTTCACCGCGAGGCCTCTTGCGGGGCCTTCCCAGATTTTTCCGGAGCCTAAAAGCAGCCGTTTCAGGGACGCACCGAGTAGGAACTCTTCGCCCTTCGGTTTTTCGCCCAAGGACCCGTCCTAGTAGCGCGCAAGTATAGCCCGAACCTTCTCCGATAACTGAAATACAACTGTAGCAGCTTCCGCAAGATCAAGACGATCTAAATACTCAGACGCACGTGGCTTCGGAGGCTCTGGTTTTTTGACATTGGGTCCAGTTGCCATTGTTATTCTGCGGTTATAATTTGATGGAATGATGGTAAGCAAGTTGACCTCCAGATCTCGCCTCTATTTGTTGTCGAGCTCGTCGAGCATCTGACGATTGATTCCCGCAGGGTATGATAATAATTCCCCCTCGGCATATTGGTGCCGACGACGATAGGAATCGGAAAACATAGACATCAGGTCTGCTGCTGGATCCTTCTTGAGGGCTGCCTGAAACTCGAGCATAAGAGCTTTGTTCCATTCTGGGGCATCAGGATGAGAGAGAGAGAACCGTTGGAGCATCACCCATATTGTTTTGCAACACTAGAGTCAACAAGTATGAACTGTTGACCGGCTCTGAGGATTGTTCGATGTTGTAGTTGTCGTTGTTTTTATCCAGAATTGTTGTCTCTGCTATCGTCGCTAGCAAAGTGGGACGAGAAGATATGTGGCAAGGGGATCATTACCTCCACTCAAAAAGGGAAAGGCTTAAGGTGTTCGGAGTAGATGGCCCTCCCTTTTGAATATAAAGCAAGGAGTCCGGGGAGTTTCTTATGATAAAGCTTGATAGCAGCCCTGATGCTCTTGGGCATTTTCTGGGCCATTGATTATAGCTACCAGCTGTGCAGTACGACCAGGAGCATCCCACTTGATATGATTGGGACATGCGGGTAATTAGTTGAAAGGGCGCTGTGACATGTTGCAGGACAAAATATGAGGAAGAAAGGGTATAAGTTGAAAAGTAGAAGTTGAAGATAAGTTAGTTAAGGTTGGTGTTGCGGCTGAAGTCAAAAGAGTTGGTGTTGACGTAACTAAGTAGCACTGTGACCAACTCAAATAAACGCCCAGTTCTCTCTCTCCATATCGGTCTCAGAGGTATGTAGTTGACTAGCTGTTACACTTGATGAACTTAGGGGCAACCCGCGGGTAGATTGAGCTCGATTTGGCGTAGTTATAGGTTACTACAAAGAGTAACGTCCGCCCGGACGAGGGTCGGGGATGAATGGATACAAACTTGAAGCTTTGTAAAAGGTACCGTACTCAGGAACCGGACATTGTAGACTCGGAGATAGCTAAAAGTGTAAATCAACTGGTTAAAGATGTCTAGATAGAATCTAGCTGTGTCTCTGACTCTATCCTGCTAATACAGACTAGGATACAACCAACACAACAAGTGCTGAGCTGCCAACTCTAACAACCAACAAACCAAGTATGAAAAGTATAGAAACATGAGGAACGTCTTACATCTATGCATCAAACTCGCGAGTGAGAAAAAAATATTTATCCTGTTGGTCAATATTCCAACCGGTTACTGGTCGGTCGGGTTGAGATACGAGGCCAAAATGCAAGAAATCAATCAATGGGATCGTGCGGAAGCGGTAGGCGGTCGAACATAGGAGACTGGCCCCGTTGGTGAGGGACGTTGGAATGAGATACATAGCATCATTTAAATTCGTTGAACCGTATCAGATAGGCCGTATGGTTGTTGATTTAGTGGCCATTAGAGCCATTGGAGCCGTTGGAGGTTTTGGTAGTCTTACGGACCACGGAATCGATGGCTTCTGCGACGTACTTCAGGTTGCTGGTGTTTACTATAAGAAAATGTTAGTGGTTTGGTCGGCTACATCGTATCAATGGGTGGAAGGGGATTGCTTACGTCCGGCGATAGAAATACGGCCGGAGTCCAGGAGATAGATGTGGTATTCACGAAGGAGGCGGACTTGCTCCTTGGTGAGGCCGGTGTACGAGAACATGCCGATCTGGTTGATGATGTGCTCCCAGGTTCCGGGGGTCTGCAGTCTCTGCAGCTCATCATATAGAGCACGGCGCATGGACTTAATTCTGCTGCTCATGGTGATGAGATCTTCCTTCCACATCTCAACAAGGGCTGGGTCACTCAAGATCTTTGCCGCAAGTCGTGGTCCTACGTTGGTTCAGTTAGTGTCACTGCATGAAGGTTTCAGTAAGAAAGTTATGCATCTAGGCACAACATACCGTATGATGGTGGAGTAGAGATCTCGCCACGCTGAAGCTCAACAACCTGAGATCGGGCACAGACAGTCGCCTCTGCGTTGCGGCACACAAGGTGGAAGGCGCCAGTTCGCTGACCATAAAGACCTAGGTTCTTGCTGAAACTCTGAGCAACGCAAAGCTCCATCCCACGCTTAGCAAATTCGCGGATGGGCCAGGCATCATTGTCCAGATCTCCAGAAGCGAATCCTTGATATGCTGAGTCAAAGAAGGGGAATAAGCTTCTGCTCTCGCACAGATCAGCGATCCGCAGCCACTGAGCACGGGTGGGATCAATTCCAGTAGGGTTGTGAGCACAGGCGTGAAGAAGGACAACATCTCCCGCGACAGCATGAGCCTCGAGTTCCTTCATCATTCCCTCAAAGTTAAGTGACCGTGTGGGTTCATGGTAGTAAGGGTATGTCTTCACCTGGATGGGGCTGCCGGAGGTTCCGCTCGAGACAAGGTTCCAGATCAAATGGTGGTTGGCCCACGTTGGGTCGGAGATCCAGATAGTGCGCTTTGCATTGGGATCAGAAAGCTTTGGGAGGTGGTCTGCTAGGAAGCGAGCTCCGATGTGGTTCGCTCCCGTTCCTGAGATTGTTTGGAGACTGGCAATGCGTTCCTTGGGGATGCTCGACTCGCCTGTTCCGAAGATTAGATCCCTAGCCATGTTGTAGAATGGTGCGTAGCCAGGGATAGGAAGGTATTCATGATCAAGAGTTGGGTCATCGAGGAGTAATTGTTCAGCCTATGGTATGTTAGTGACTTTATCATTCGAGAAACGAGTGATAACCTGCCTTCTTGACCGCCGGTAGCCTCCAACTCTTTGCTTCGTTGTCTCTGTACACACCAGCACCCAAGCTGACCTTGTCTGGGTGAGTATCAGCGGCGAAGTCGCCCATCAGAGCGAAGACTTCATCCGCCGGCGCTGTGTCCAGCTTGCAAAAGAGACTCTCTGGCTGGAGGGGGGCCATCTTTTCGGCTTTTTCTTCCCGTTTCTGCTTTTGCAGGTACGTGATACTGTTCTTGATATGGTCGAATAGTAACCCTGTCACTATTTTCCAGACGCTGGGGCGGTGACGTATTTATGCTCGAGACTTTACAGAATAGAAGATATGATGATATCTCAGTCCTTCCAGCAACCCGTCAAGAAAAAAGTCCGACTCAGTATTCATATAAGTACCATCCGCCGATAGAGTTTTGACGAAGTTAAAACCGGGCTTTTCAACTCCTTTCTTTTCTTCTTCTGCGTCGTTGCTTTTTTGCCCTTTTTCAACGTCAGAAAGTCAAAAAGGACTCCGGGATCAGTCCCGCCCCTGCTGTGGCGGCTGGCGTCTTATATTTAATGCTCCCTTGCCTGTCTCCTGCGCCCTCCACTCACCTCCTCACCACGAGGCGCAACCTTGGAAGGATGACAGCGTCCAACGCTCAGCCCAATAATAAAGTAATCTGATAAAATATGCGCGCGCGGGCGAGCGGATACCGACGGCTGGTGTAATATAAATAGAGACCAAGCCTTACTCCGTAGAGCTACCGTCTTTTATGAAGTTTGGGAGCAATCCGTTAGCACTCTCTATCCGCTGACTGCATGCGGTATGGGGAGACATCAAATACGAGGAAGGTTCTACTTGTCTCTGGCCTCTGTCTCTGCGGTATTTCTCTCCTCCTATTATTTCGCTCTGTGCTTCGCTGTCTGCGTCCCAAATAATGAATTGTGAATGAATGACTGAGTGATTTGTGATTTGTGGCTGTTCCTTGAGCCCGGAATTTGCTTGCCGGGGATGTTTCTTTGCTCGATGTTCTTTTTTGCTTTTTCTGCTTTGGGAAATAGCCGGTAAGCGGCTTATGTAACAAGAGCCCGCTAAGCCGAGGTCAATTATGTGATTATGTAATAAGTAAGTCAGCAACATCGTTACTGACTTAGCTAAGCAGGCCAGCCCCTTTCTTCGTCGGACTTCCAACGTCGACTTTCGCCGACTGAGCATACCACAAAAGCGGGCTCAAGATGAGACAAATGACGAGCTAGTGCTTGTTGTTGGTGTGATAGATTGGTATCAATATGTGACTAACTATGCATGTGCCGTCCTGGAAGCTGGATTGGTTATTGTTGGATTGCTGCCTAGATGGCCCGTCAACCCATGAAGCGGCTAACCCATGTCTGAGAAGGGAGATAAATAGATGATGGGGATGCAAAGTCTTCCGCTTTTCTTCTGGCCTTCCGGATCGTCCCAGTGCACCAGAATACTCGATGGCTTTGCGACCTTATTCATATTTTGTTAAGGAATTACAGGCTAGTTCTAGGGTTCTTTACTCAACAATGACCCCTGCCATAAAGCTCCCGGGTTATGGCATCCCTTTGAATGGATTTAGGGCATGGAGAGCGTCACCAGGGGATGGGTTCATAACCAATACGGAATATGATGGATCCAAGGATTTCAGAAACCGATCATTCCCTAACGCTCTAGATCAAAGTGACATCGATTATGGCAGTATATCGTGAGAGTTCCTGTTGCCCAGCTCGCTTTGATGATGAATAATAGCTAATTTTTCCTTTTATGTATACGGAATAGCATGCCTATGATTACTTTGAGAGAGCATGCGATGATTTATGCCATGAATGATATCACTGACAAGCCTGGGTGGGAAGACAAGGTAAAGGCTTAGTTCTTACCTCTGATAAATCACTGTAATAACATCCAATTTGTTTGGTAATGCTTAGGTTTTTGACCAAACTATCACCGCCAAATGGAGACGAGAGCTACTAGAAAATGATACCTTGGATATAACAGAAAAAATGGTTGACTGGATCATCGCTGAACTTCAGTATAAATCTGAAGCGTTCAAAACTGATGGTATTATCTCTGCTCTTACCTCTGGTGTTTTCAAATCCGACTCTCTTATTCCCACTTCACTCAAAGAGTCACTGAAAGCTGCAGTTGCTCGTCTTGAGCAAGTACCTGAAGCGCAAAAGGACTACCATCCCCACAGCAAAAATCAGGTTCTTGACCTTGTCCATCCTTCGCTCTTCCCCTTGGTTTATGGTCGGACCCGCATCGTTAAAGATGGTATTCTGAACATTCAGGATGGTATCGCCAGATCTGGTACTGGTGAAGTAATTCCTATTCCAAATAAGTCAGAAACTGAAGTTCCAAGTGATGGACTCGGACCTCCGCATATTTCGCAAAGAATGAGGCACCCCTTCAGCGACAAGTTTCAATGGCTTCCTTGCGACGTAGCATCTGGATCGACAAACCGTCCTGGGAAGGATTCCCATGCACAGAATCCTTCAAGCGAATGCACCATCACCAGTTATATCAATAACCTGCATCCTGACGAGCACAAGGAATTGTATGGAGTTCTCGAACAGGTCATTGCCCGCACAATCCCTCTGTGGAATGAGACATTATCTGTTGGTCAAACTCGGCGTGATTATAAGCGGATTAACTATACCGAATGTATCTATGACCCAGATCCGGATAACATACCAGAAAAGGATTGGCCTCAAAGGCTTCCAGATGAAAATGAGGAAGATTACGAGCAACGTATTGAAGAGTGGGGATGGGAAATTCGCAAGGTAGCGCAACCCGAGCCGGGGAAATTCGTCCCAGAGGAGAAGGTAAATTGCTCCGATGATGAAAAAAAGCTTTTAGATGAACGGAAAACTGTCAACCTTCAGAGAGATTACGGAAAGACTGGGATACAAGTCATTGTGAAACTCGCGAACATTCATCTTACTCCCGAAAACAATAAATACGATGGAGGTTCATGGCATGTTGAGGGCCAATTGGTATGTATTTCGCTATATATAACCTTCACTTATTTCTTGGGAAAATATAATAACCCCACTTTGCAGAACGAACACATCTGTGCTTCAGCACTGTTCTACTACGACAGTTCTAACATAACTGAGAGCCGGCTTGGGTTTCGCCAAATGGTTAGCTTTTACGATGCCGATGATGTTTTCTACGAGCAAGATCATCGTTCTTGGCTGAACGAAGTGTTTGGATTTGAGGATCAGGAGTCTACTGTCCAAGAAATCGGCAGCGTTTTATGCAAAGAAGGGCGCCTTGTCACATTCCCAAACTCGCTGCAGCATCGTGTACATCCTTTCGAACTGGATGATCCTACCCAACCAGGTCACCGAAAAATTCTCGCGTTGTTTCTTGTTGACCCAAACACTCGCATCATCTCTACGGCAAATGTACCCGCACAAAGAGCAGATTGGTGGGATAGGCTGATGCCATTGCATGGCATCGCAGGTAAACTTCCCAGAGAATTATTCGACGAAGTCACATCTTATCTGGATGACTTTCCAATCACTATGGAAGAGGCGAAGGAGCTGCGCCTGGAGCTAATGGAAGAAAGGAAAGCTGTTTATTCTGGTCAAGAGGAATCATTCCATCAAGACACATTTTCACTATGTGAGCATTAGCCAACATATATGATGTAGTAAATAGCAGAGACAAATATACAATGTGTCCGTTTGTTGTGTTCGAGTTCCATCAAAAAGCATAGGTGTGATCATTACTACGCCAAGTCTGCTAGAATAATATCGGAGGTTTATCTCTCAAGTTGGTGAGCTTATCTTGACTCCGTCCAGAATATTCTTTAGTGCTGGGGCATCGCCAACTACCTACTTCTCTGATCAGGCCCTTGCAGCCCGTAACCAAACATCCGCGCCCTGCAAAATGCCCTAGCCCTAAGCCCTAGCCGCTTATAGCCGCTTGCCATCTGTTTTCCTGTTACGATCTAGCGCCGGCAAGCCCCGCTCAGAAAGTTATCCGTCTTTAGCCGCCCTCTGGTCACCTGCCATTTTAGTGGGCACCAATTGGCTTATATCAGCGCCAAGACATACCATTCACCTTAGATAAGCAAAAATCTCAACCTCAATATCATAAAGGTTAACCTATGATCAAGAGTCCAATCAGGTCGCGGAAGACATTCTTTGTAAACATTCTCGAGGAATTATGTGTACGGCATACTGTCTCGAAGTGTTGATGGGGCCTAGGCGACAGAGGTATTAATATCGTCAAGCTCACACCAATGGATACATGTGTGGATGTCAGTTTCGATTTTGGCTGCTGATGCATATGTAAACACAAGGGATTTCCTCTCTCTGGAATCTCGCCAATTGGTTGATGTTTATTTTTTTGTACACTGAGCTGAGATTAAACGACGAAGCTATGACGGCATACTAACATCCCGGGTGCAAGAGGCGACAAGGGTATGGATATGCGTCCAACCACTTATTCACCACTAGCCTCTGTGACAGACATGTTGAGATGCGCCACAGCTTCCTACAAATATCGCCTAAAATGAGGACCTTATTTCCCCTCACTTCCCAAGTCGACGTGTGACGTGGGACTTGCATACATACGCAGACTCCGGTCCTCTGGTCAGGGGCTCGGTTCTGGGGCAGCAAAGGGGTCATCTGTAGGATCCTCTACCCAACGGTATTCCATCCGCTTTGCTATTGCCTGTGCATATTCCCGGCCATAAACCATCCCGATAAAGGCAAGCATGGCATCAGTACCTGCACTGATACCGGAGGATGTCCATATATTTCCATCAATCACCCATCGGGCGCTCCTCTGCCACTGGACCTGAGGGTACGGCCTTGTCGTCTCCTCGTACCTCCTCTTGTTGGTCGTCGCTTTCTTTCCATCCAGAAGACCCGCTTCAGCTAGAACTTTTGAGCCTGTACAGATACTAAACAAATATTTAACTTCCGGGTATAGCTTGCGAGCAAGCTTGACGGCTGGCTCGATGTTGGCGCAGTGACTGGTACCCAGGCCACCCGGAACGATGAGAACATCAATTTCTGTGGGCAGATCATCGTAGCTATGTGTAGGAACCACGCTTTCAGAGAAGCCCCATCCTGGCTTCAGGTTGACTATGGGAAGTGGAGGCGGCTTCGTGCTCACCGGGTTCAATGTTGGCGCAATGATAGAAAGTTTGATGCCGTTGTCGAGAGAAGTGATATTAAGAGCATCAAGAGGACCGAAGACGTCGAGAGCCTGGAAGCCTTCAAAGAGAAGAATGGCGTAGTGCTTGGGTTCTACTACGATGTTAGCATCCTGCCACATACACAATAATACCCAGGCCTATTGTCATCCGGGTTTGTACTTGTCCCGCAGGCAAAGGATATATACCTGTAGAATTGCCCGCCATCGTACTTTGTATTTCCATTGGGCTCCTAACTCAGCAAAGGTTGACTGCTTCTAGAATATCACCCGTCTTTCGTACCAAGGGTGTGCCTGCGCCAGTTGGATGGACTGAGAGTTATAATCTCGGGACAGAGAATAAAATAGACACAGAGATCCAGTTGCAAGGAATATGCTTAGCTACCTGTTTCCAAGTATGCTTCTCAAATATTTGGTGCCTCCCTGCAGCCCGTCTTTATATATCGTGATCCTCGATGTTGATCGTGTTGAGTTGCCAATACATGGAAGGGCGCAAGCGCAACTGCAACTTCGTACTTCCACAAGCGGGGTGAGTCATGACAGCGCAGCAGCAGGCTGAAATATCACATTCGATAAACCCATATAATCTCATGTTTGGTATTATTAATATTACTCTCAATTGCATATTCATGCATGCAGATAAGCCAAAAAGGTATCGTGGATTAGTTAGCTATACAAATATGGATCAGATGGTGACACGAGCTTCACGTAAAATCAACAGGAGGCAAGCCCCTTTCCACAACAGCATTGCTCACACAGTTCTGCACTTTGATAACTGCATTCTTCCAACCGGAGAGTGATGGGCTGGATTTGCTTGAAGGGCCCGTGTCTCCCGTGCTACCATGACAGCTACTGTTGAAATCGTTTACGAGCCAGCCTAGCCATCGTGCCAGGTCGGTGGCTTTGGAAATATCCTTTTCCTCCAAGACAACTCGCCTCAAGTACTTGGTGAGCGCCTCTACGTCTTCTTCATACGGTTCTTCGTTTTCAAATGATGAATACCACTCGCTCAAGGCCTCGCGAATCTCTGATAGAGAAGATAGCCTTTTTGATGTGAACGTGGGTTTCGCAGGACGCGGATCAAACCGGAGGAGTTTCTGCTCGGGCTCTACAGGGAGAGAAGAGTTGTTGGTTCTATGCTGCTTTATCCGTGAATTCTTCTCATGCACTGCGGCAAGGTTTAGGCCTCCTTGCTCTTGGATTCGAGTCTGTCTGTGTTCTTCTAGAACTTCTCGACGTATATCTTCCGGCAAAGCGGCAAGGAATTCCTCTGAGATATCTCTGTCGGGATCCGCGGATGCCCGTGTAGGAGAATTATCTGCAGAGTTTGTACATTCATGCGTGGGCAAGGAGACTTGAGGGATTATGAAATTGGACTGAGTAAGGGTAGGCCCAGTTGCTGATCTTGTTGCAGCCCTTGGTCGCCCTCTTCCACGGCTAGATTTTGGTTTCGTTGGCGTCGTAGGTTTCCTGTGACGCGGGGATTTTGGCAAAGGGGTTGGGCTTGGAGAAGCAATTGTCGGTGTATTGGCATTTTGCTTATAGTAGCCTAGCACTTCAGCTCTTACATCTTCAGGTAAGGCGTTCAACGTATCCTGATCAAGCTGTGATTCAGGCGGGAGGGCTGTTGACGCAAACAGTGTCTGCATTGGACGTTTGGCAGAAGCTGCAGCTTTTAGCTGTTCACTGATACTCAGCCTCTCCTTTGGAGCCAATTTAGAGCGGACATCACTTGGTAGTTCCGCAATGGTCGAAGGATCCGATTGTGTTGGTAAAATAAACTGCGTACCTCGTGTATTCAGGAGTTTCTGAGATGCATCATGTAGCGAAGATCCAATCGCCAATGATGCGGATATATGTGGGCTTGCATTCTCTCCTTTCTTAAGACTCATGATTTCATCAGGGTCTTGAGAAATTATGCTTTTTGGACCAGGGGTAGCCGCCTTAAACTGGAGCTGCTGCTGACTGCTCGTGTGTTCACCACTAGCAGTAGCTTTAATGGGCGTGAGCTTCGTCATTTGAACTCCCAACCCTCTCAGGTCCCCAGGTGAGAAGTTAAAACTGCGAAGAACGGAAACTGCCTCCTTGCCAATTATATCGCTTGCATTAGTTGGAGTATGTAGGATAATACTCTTGTTAAAGGTGTCACATTTGCCATGGCCGAGATGTTTGGGAGGATCAACGGGTGAATCAGCAGCCCTTCGCATTATCCTCATCGTCAGCTGTCTACCTTTGACCCCGTTCTCCAAAAGTCGACGATGTAGCTCCTCACTTAGGCTCCGCACAAATTCATCCGCCTGTGCCTGGTTAGTAAACCGAATACCCCAGTTTATTTCCGCTGAAACGGACTTTCGTATTACTTGCTCTCCAACGACAGTGTTGTCGATTCCCCGTGCGTATTCCCATAGTTTTGCTCCAGTTTTTGGACCAAGATGCCCAGTCAGCTTCTCTCGGCTAAGCTGACGGATATCTTTGACATATTTGACACTGAGCTCTTCAAGCTTTGTTCCCAGACTATGCGCCACACCAGGTAGATCAGTGACAGAGAATTCACCGATGAAGTCAAGCATATTTTCGGGTTTTAGCTGAAACTGGCCGGCGGGTTTTGCTTTTTTTAATGCCAACCTTGCCTGTAGGATGTTCTGACCAATACCAACAGATACATGACAACCAGTTTTCTGCTTGATGGAATCTCGCAATTTTTGTGCTATGGTATCGGCTTTTTCCTGTTCTCGATATATTGAGCTCTCTGATATTGCTTTTCCATCAGAACCACCAGCCTGTATACATAAAGAGGAAATGTCAACGAGTGCTTCATCAATGCTGACACTTTGAACAATTCCATCGATATCAAGAATTGCCTGATAGAACTTCCTGCTAGCATCCTCGTATGCTGGAAAGTCATATGGCAACACTTTGAGTTCTGGGCAGCGCTCTAGGGCTCCTTTCATCCACATCCCATTTTTGACGCCAAATTTGCGTGCTGGGTAATTGCAGCTAGCTATTTCGGAGCCCGGACCAGTTCCATGTGCAACGGCAATGGGAGAATCGGCAAGTTCAGGGTGTTTTTGCAGAGAAACTGCTGCGAAAAAACTATCAAAATCAACATGAAGAATATACCGCCTTGTTCCAGGAAGCCGTTTGATAGGAGAAAGCTTTGCTGTACCGCGTTCTTGGGCGAGGGTTTGCAGCTGTGCTTTCAGCTCCGCCTTCCAGGTAGACAGGTGGTGAAGACGTGATTCACGATAGTACTGCTGGATGAAATCAGGATTGATTACGCTGGATTGCCGGATATGTGCCTTCGAAAGCAGCAAGGCATTGTGCTCCTCTGAAGTTAATGGCTTCCTTCCATCAGCTTTCGGGCTTGTATGCACCTGGTCCAAACTAGGCCGTTCAGGATGAACTGGTGACAACAGATCATCCGATCCCAATGCACCAAACTCTTCAGGGGTTGTTGAAGCCATAGAAACACCATTCACCTGATCCGTTGCTTGAACATCGGTTGCTGGTTCATCTTCCAAAGGCGGGTCGTCCGTAGTGTCAGCTGAGGGCAATTCGACTATCCTCTGGGAGTCAACGGGGACGACCTCCTTGTTCAACTGCGAAGTATACCAGCATGCATCTGTTTGAGCCTTGTAACTCTGGGATTGGGTATTATTCTCGGTAGATATGCCATTGGCATCAAATTTCAGAACCTTTTGTGCAGTACCTTCGCCTAACAGACGATATGTTTCCCAGGGCAACATACGGCCAGCTTTAATACTGTCAACAATCCATGCCGGTTTTACAACACGGTATCGGCGGAACTCCTCTTTCTTCTTAGGAGTCAATGCGCTGGTAATGATGTGAGTCGCCGCTGTTTTCCTATCGAGATACTGAAGGAAGCCCCCGCCATGGCTCACAATCATACGGTGAAGGTCATTCAGTGATGGCTGTGTGTAGCCATTCACGTGTGCTACAACACCCTTGAATATGGGTGGGTTGTTTGGAGATGCAGAGCGTATTTCAGAATCTAGATTTTGAAGTTTGATTTTCTTCCGACGAAAATAATCTCCAAAGCCTCCAAAGCCAGATGCTCCATACTCCTCGCCATCCTCTCCCACAAAGTCATCTAAGTCCGTTAGCCATGTACGGTTGAATGCAACATTTGTACTCACGGTTCTCAATCCTCTTACGCGTGGCGTTGGAGCCTGACTCAAGTCTAGAGCCCATACTGTGGCATCACGCAGGAGAAAATCATGTTCAAAACGAAGCTATACCGTGTACTCAGCCCCAAACTCCCAGATCAAGCTGTCATCACGCCTGATCTCTCCTTGATACAGTTATCATCGTGGTGCTGCTACCGTTTTGTCTCTTTAATGACTTTTTGGACACGAAAAAAACACGCCAAATCCAAGGGTCACATGATACATTATATAATTCTTATTAGTCATATTAACGCTAGCCACTATTAGTCTAGCGTTATCATGTTAAAAAAAAACTATTTACTTTTTTTCCTTTCTTTTCGTTGCTATGTGGAAACGAGTTGGAGCTTTAGAGAAAATTCTCTATTTGACTGAGATTTTCTCCTCATCCTTAAGAGAGAGAGCTGAGCCGTTGTCTATTCATTTTTTCCAGTTTTGCACTGCGCTGAATTCTCTCGTTTACCAAAGATAACCATGTCAGGAACTCAGCCAGTTGCTCTCTATGCGGCCAAGGTGCCTCCAGGCGCCCTTGTGCCTGCTGTCCCCGATGCCGCCGCCATGGTATGTAGATGAATTCCCTGATAAGTATCCTGCTCATGAAGAGGCAATTCAATTGACTAAAATATGATATAGTTCCGTGTGACCATGGCCGCAATTGATCCCGACGCGGTGCCGGAGTACGAGGATGAGGCCCAGGCCAGCAAGGCCCCCCGAGCTACGCTGAAGATCATCCGTCCTCCTCCTGGTCTTGATTATGACGACGACGATGACGACGAAGAGGATGACGAAGATGAGGAGGATGATGAGTCTGACGATGAGACCAATGGCGGTCCGAGTGACCCGGCCAGAAAGAAGAAGGCCATGCTTGAAGCTGCCTTGAAGGATATGGATGACGGCATGGAGGAAGACGATGATGACGACGAGGAGGGGGAGACTGACCTCGCTGCTGCCATTTCTAAACTAGTTAAGGGCAAGGGAAAGGCCATGGAAGATGAAGATGATAGTGACAGCGACGAGGATTTGGAACTCGACGAAGTTGTCGTCTGCACACTTGACCCAGAGCGTGTATGTTCACTCTATTCGCAAAACCGTTTTGGATAAGGAAATGCTGACAATCCATACAGAACTGCCAGCAGACTTTGGACTTTGTTGTAGGTGAAGGTGAGCGTGTCTTCTTCAAGGTCACCGGCACTCACACTGTCTACGTCACTGGAAACTATGTGACTCCCCTCGAAAACATGTATGACAGTGAAGACGAGGACAATGATGAGGATGATGAGGATGACTACGACCTCTCACCTGATGAAGATGAGCTAGCTGCCCTCGTGGGTGATGATGATGAGAGTGACGAGCTAGATGACATGGCCAATCCAAGAGTTATGGAGATCGACACCGATGAGGAGGAGGAGGTCAAGGCTCAGACTCAGGCTAAGCAATCCAAGAAGGAGAAGAAGGGCAAGAAGCGCCCCGCAGATGATTCAGATGAGGAGCCAAACTTGGACGACATGATCTCCAAGACCTTGAAGGACGAGCCTGCGACCAATGGCGAGACTAAGTCGAGCAAGAAACAAATGAAGAAACTAAAGAAGAACAATGGCGAAGCTGCTGAGGCAGAGGCTGCTAAGGCCAACACCAAGTCTGACAAGAAAGTCCAGTTCGCGAAGGACCTGGAACAAGGCCCTACTCCATCCAAGACAACCCAGACTGGCACTCTTGGAGTGAAGCAAGTACAAGGGGTTACTGTTGACGACAAGAAGCTTGGAACAGGCAAGCAGGTTAAGAAGGGTGATCGAATTGGCATGAGATACATCGGAAAGCTAGAGAATGGCAAAGTTTTCGACTGTAAGTACCAGCTCTATCCTCTGTTCTATCTATGTTATGCAGTTGCTAACTCACGATCTAGCTAATAAATCCGGAAAGCCTTTCACCTGCAAGGTTGGAACGGGTGAGGTAATCAAGGGTTGGGACATTGGTATTCCCGGCATGGCTGTGGGCGGTGAGCGAAGACTCACTATCCCAGCTCATCTTGCCTATGGAAAGAAATCTCTTCCTGGAATTCCCGCTAATTCCAAACTCATCTTCGACGTTAAGCTCCTGAGCATCAAATAAATACCCATCCACTTTAACCCCAGTTAATGGAGCCTACGAGGCCTGTTCCATACCCATTGCGTTTCTCAACTGATGTTAAACAAGAAAAAGACAACCAATAAAAATATTTTCAAGGCTTCTGTTGGTTTATATTCACATTGTGTTTCTTATTCCCTTTGTTGGCTTTTGCCTCGTGCTAATTTGTTCGAGTTGTTGTCGGACGACCCCCAAAATGACTGGCGTTTTATATCTGCATGTGTATTATCGATTAAGACCTCTTTCCCATAGAATAACACTCATATCGTATGTATAATTCACCCTGTTTTGCCCATACGTCAATGGTTGACACGCTCAAGCCATCCCTGTCTATCCCATCCCGTCCCAGCAAGGTCACGGTGTGGCCCGTGTCCCCGTCAAATAAGGTTTTTTTTTTAAGCATAAGTCAACATCATCGACTCTTAACTGCCCAAAGTCATCGACCCCGTTACCTCGAGAAGAGTACCGGACAACTGCAGGATCTTGTTCTGAGCTATCAGCGAATGATTAGCTCTGTTGCCAGCGATGATGTCGCGGTATTTAGTGGTCTGTGGCCACAGTCGGGGTTTCTCTCGAGTTCTGCCTCCTTTTCGCCCTTTCCGCCCAAGCAGCTTGAGCTTTCTTCATCCACAATACCACAGAGCTGCAGCGTCTATTCCCTTCTGATCAAACTTGTACTGCAGAGCAGTCGAAGTACTCTCGCTCTGTCTCCATGCAAGTTACGAATGGGAGATGCTACTATCGTTTATTCCGCAGTTACTTATGCGACGATATCACATCATTACATAGTAATCTTTGCTGCGTATATTATACCCTTCTTTTCACTCTTTCCCTCACCTATTTCACCGGAAGCACCAAATGGCTTCTGCTAGCCATCGGACTTCCTAGCTCCATTTATTCTCTCTAGGTATATTTATATACCTGCCAGCCCCATGACGATATCATGAATAGCCCCGAGGGTATCTCTTCACTCGGAAACCCTTCCAAGGCAGTGGTTCCAATTGATGTTAACGATCCACCGTCGCCAGAGTTCTCTTCACAGACCGAAGGAGTTGGCAGTACCAAAGGTACAAAGTCAGTCCGTGGCTTTCTTAAGCAAAAAGGATCAAGACTTCTTTCATTATTTAAGACGAACAAGAGTGCAGGTTAGTTACATTTAGAACACTCGAGAAGTATCTCATACTGATTGATCCAATACTTAGGTAGCATAACCTCCCAGGATATACCAAAAAAGATTTGCCAGCCAAGTAGAGAAGACGAGGGTACGAGCCAAATTCTTACGAACGGAAAAACGCCTTCCAGTCTTGAGCGAAATAACCAAGGCAACAATAAGTCCTCAGACTTGAGTACTCTGCAACAGAAGAGGGAGCGAACGGCCTATCAAAGTCGATACCCTGGTAAAAAGGAGCCCGGTGTTAACGACGCCCCCACGGAACAGACGACCCCTAGGACCGCCAAAGCTCTAGTCTCTAGCCAGCAGCGTCTTCATTCCGGGATAGGTTTAACGAAGAGAATTTCAGATAAATTCTCAATGTCATTCGGTCCCCCAACTGTAGTTCGTCGTGCAAATCTGCGGCTGCGGCCAGCTATAGGTAGCTTTTCGACTGGTACACGGCCGTCCGCTCCATCCCCACTTCAGAAGCTGGGCGATAACGCTCAGGATGACTCGGACTCCTCTGCTTCCCATCTCAGTGGCAGTGGGACTTCTCACAAAAGCCAATCTACCAACCCTACCTCGGAAGGCAGCCCTGTCTCTCAACCAAAAAGGACATCGGCAAGTTTGGCTAGCAAAGAAAAACGTGCTCTTCCGCCAAACAGTGTATCGTCGGAATCTCCACAACCCTCATTTGGAGACATCCAGCCGCCCCTTATTAAACCGTCCATTGCTACCGTGGAAGCAGCTGCCGCTGCAAAGATTTTCCTTGAAACATACTTTGACTCTTTATTTTCCAAAGAGCCTCCCAGGCTGCGCCGTCAACGTGAACTAGAGCAAGCTATATACTCGTTGCCCCTTTCAGAGGATGAACGACAAGAAGCCCGGTACACTTGGTATCGTCAGGAATCCAATCACCTTCGAAGAGATCGCGTTATCAAAACACATTCGAACCGAAGAGATGGTAAAAAGAGCCCCTTGGTGTCAGAATATGAAGTAATCAAGGTATTAGGAAGAGGCAGCTTTGGTGTTGTTCGCTTAGTTAAAGAAAAGAATACCAGCATTGAACCTGAACCGCCAACCCCGAAGGTACCACGATCATTTCATCGAAAGGACCCAGGAAGAACTAAAAAGAATGTTTTCGCGATGAAAGTTATCCGCAAGTCAGAAATGCTCCTAAATTGTCAAGAAGGCCACCTGCGAGCAGAAAGAGACTTCTTAGTCGCTTCTAATAAATCTCGCTGGATTGTACCACTCATTTCGAGCTTCCAGGATAAACACAACCTCTACCTAATCATGGACTACATGGTTGGTGGTGATTTTCTTTCTTTACTCATGAGAAAGCATATTTTATCTGAGGAAATCTCCAAATGGTACGTTGCTGAAATGATTCTTTGCATTGAGGAAGCCCACCGACTTCGCTGGATCCACCGAGATGTCAAACCAGACAATTTTCTGATCTCAGCGTCTGGCCACCTGAAGATCTCTGACTTTGGGCTCGCGTTTGATGGACATTGGTCTCACAACGAGTCATACTTCAATAATCATCGACAGTCATTGCTCAAGAAATTGGGCATCAAGATTGAAGGAGACAGTGAGGATAAGAAGAATCCCGCTAAAGAAACCAAAAAAGCATATAAGATTACAAACTCCCCTGACGGGAAAAACGCTGAACTGGTGGATAAGGGGGATAGGAAGCAACCTTGTCCAGGCGAAGATATTCTTCGATGGCGAAATCGCCGAGAGCGAAGGAGGTTGGCGGTCAGTATGGTAGGCACCAGTCAGTATATGGCTCCAGAAGTTGTAAATGGGGAACCATACGATGGTAGATGCGACTGGTGGAGCGTTGGCATAATTCTGTTTGAGGTATATCCTACCCTTGGGCTTTCATATTAACCAGTTTCCCTTTCTGTCATGTTCGATGCTAAGCGATGGTTTGTAGTGTCTATTT